CAGAACTAGCAGCTAGGAGCCCCCGGCTGGAGTGCTCTCAGCAGCACAGGGGAGATCAGCCCCACGTCCACCTCCATCAACTTCCTACAGCTGCCCAGTCCTGGAGCTTCCTGCAGCTGGGGTAGGTACCCAGAGGTGGGTCTGACTCCCCCACACTTTCCCCAAGTGGCTGTGCAGGGGAAGAGCAAGTCTTGGCCAGGCTGGGGAGGAACAGGACTAGCAGCTGGGGCCGGAGGCCTGGTAGGAGCCCCGGGCTTGGGAACTCCCAGCTATTCCCTTCCCCTCCAATAGCTAGATTTCAGAGGAGAGGACTGATTGCACGGTCCGTGACATGTTATTCACAGTGTGAATTTGGTAGGGCCCTAATCATTACAGAAGCCAGTCTCTTAAAATAATTGCAATAATGTCTTAAGGAAAAATGAGTTGTTTTCTTGCTCTTGTCTTTTGTATCCCCAGAAATTTGACGCTTAAACATCTGTGTTTGTACAGCACCTACCACAGTGGAGTCCTGCTCCATGACTAAGACTCCTAGGCACTATGGAAATATAAATAATATTGTGAGAAATATTTTTCTTCAGTAGACTTAAACCCTGAACATGTGTATCGTCTCACTGTAAATAAACATGCTATTTCTATTCCATTCAAGTTTAATTTCCTTGTGTTTTCATCAGTGTAGCAGCTCTTGTGCATCAACTCAACGATGATTACATAGCAACATTCAATAAGTTCATATTTTTGTTTTCTGTTTAAAGAGTGCTATTTTTCATATGATGATTTTAAATCTATATTAAACCACAATTGCTGAGAATTTTACTTCAGTTTGCTTTACATTTCCTGTGTGGTGAACAACTCTTCAAGGAGCATTATTGATTTTGCAGCTACGGAAGGAAATATCTGCTCCCGAAGCTGGGGGGATTTCACAAACATCCATCTCCCTCTGCATATAGCACTGTAACTTATAAATTCCCAGATGGAAAATGCTGATTGTGTACAGCTTAAACTACATCTAAAGCTTTTTCAGTCCAATCCAGTACTTACCGAGCTGAGAAATATTTTTACTTAAATTACCGAATGACCACCAAGGGGGGAAAATGGGTGACTAAGACAATTATTGTCAACTTTGCCAGCTGTAAGGGGGAAGGGGTAGAGAGGAGCAAGCAGGGGGCAGGGCCTCAGGGGAAGAGGCAGTGCAGAGGCGGAGCCTCGGGGGGAAGGAGCGGGGCCTTGGGGGAAAGGACAGTGCGAGGGCAAGGCCTTGGGGGGAATAGACAATATGATGGTGGAGGCATAGAGAGAAGGTGTGGTGCGAGAGCTTGGGAAGAAGGGGCAGCAAGGGGGCAGAGCCACAGTTCAGTGGCCCCCACACTTTTAGGGAGCTTCTGCCACTCCTGCCTTTGGTACTGTCTAGAGGGACTGCCTGCCTTGACACAGGTCTTCCCGCTTCGGCACTGTTCCCCAGACCGACAGGTACTGCCCCTCCATGGTCTCCGGAGGAAGGCTCGTTGTCAGCCAGTTCTGCCCTGGGCAGCCCTGCCAGTTGATGGACCCAGACACAGAGGTACTGCCGCGTACTTGGCACAGTGGTCATTGGCCTATGCAGATGCAATGGCCATTTTGGAACCCCTGGGGGTTTCCCCATATTCAAGGGCCCTCTTCCAGATACTCATACTCCATAGTCTCAGAAAGAAGAATGCTCCCATCCCTACAACCGGCACCTGACCTCGACTCTAGTACCAAGCCCGGTACCGAGCCTCAGGACCTAGATCTACAGGACCCAGTTGGTGTAGAAGGCGAGGAAGAGGACCCCCTGGCGGTGTTGGTCTCTTCCTCCTCCTCAGATGAGGCAGTGTTTGGGACACATGTATCCCTTCCCTGATCCCACCCCCATGACTTCTCAGCTCACCAGAAGCTGTTGAAAAGTGTGGCCTCGATCCTTGGGCTGTAGGTGGAGGTAATCAAAGAACCCTCCCACTGCCTGTCCGCTGCGGGCCCATCGAAAGTGGCCCTCCCCCTCAATTAGGCCCTTATGGGACTGGTTAAGGCCTTGTGGCAAACCCCATCCTCCCAGGGCCGAAAAGAAGTAATTTTTCTCTGCACAGGGCTATGAGTACTTGTACTCCCATCCCTCTCTGGGGTCCCTGGTGGTCTTGGCAGCCAATGAGAGGGACAGCAAGGAGCAACTTTCAAAGCAAGGGACACAGAGACTAGACCTTTTTGGTAGAAAAGTTTATACTATAGGGGATCTACAGCTCCGCATCTCCAACCAGCAGGTGTTGCTGGGGAGATACGGTTTTAATGTCTGGGAGTCAATGATGAAGTTCAAGGACTCTTCCCCAGGAGCCCAGGCAGGAGTTCTCTGCTGTGGTGGAGGAAGGGAAGTCTCTGGCCAGGGCCTCCCTACAGGCCACCCTGGATGCGGCAGATTCGGTGGCTAGTTCCATGGCATCTGCCGTGATCATGCACAGATGCTCTTGGCTCCAGTCCTCAGGTCACCCAGTGGAGATCCAACAACCCATCCAGGACCTTCTGTTTGAAGGCACTTGCTCTTCTCTGAGCAAACGGATGTGAAGCTTCACAGCCCTAAGGATTCATATGCTGTAGTGCCTTTGAGGAAACACTTCAGGCCTCAACAATCGGTCCACTTCTTGGCTTCGCCGCCACACCAGGACCTGTTTAAGAAGCAAAACGGGCATAAACACAGACATCTACCCACCCCCGCTTCAGCCTCTCTACCGAGTCCTCACAGATACTCGGGAGGCTCCAAGCAGAACTTTTGATGTGGTGTCCGAGGACACTATACCAGTTTTTTTGTAGTGGATACTGCCCCCTTTTTGTTTTCAATCCATCTCTCCCACTTCAGCCTGGCATGGTCCCTCATCACGTTAGACCGCTGGGTACTGAGTATGGTGGAGGAAGGTTACACT